CAAAGTTGTAACAATAGTTTTCTTTCTAACTTGATCTAAAGGCAATCAGCAGTATGAGTGCAAGTTGTGAAGAGTTATGTCCAGGCTGTTTTATTGTTGGACTAAAGAACTTCAGAGAGATAAATACAAATACACAAGTTAAAGCCCAAATGGATGGATGCTCCACACCGTGGCTTACTTTGGAATAAGTGCTTTCTTTATTATAACAACAGTGACACCTGCTGACCAGAGGCACACACTGAGCATTTGGTTTTGAATGGTCCTTCATTTTGATCACACCATGCAGGGAGTCCTTGTTAAAGCTGCAGCATATGCAGTTTCAATTTAAAATACATATTTGCCCACGTAACAACACGCTTAATACATACAGGCAACATCATACATACAGGCAACATCATACATACAGGAAACATCATGCATACAGGCAACATCATACATACAGGCAACATCATACATACAGGCAGCATCATACATACAGGCAGCATCCTACATACAGGCAGCATCATACATACAGGCAGCATCATACATACAGGCAGCATCATGCATACAGGCAGCATCATGCATACAGGCAGCATCATGCATACAGGCAACATCATGCATACAGGCAACATCATACATACAGGCAACATCATGCATACAGGCAGCATCATACATACAGGCAACATCATGCATACAGGCAACATCATACATACAGGAAACATCATGCATACAGGCAGCATCATACATACAGGCAGCATCATACATACAGGCAACATCATACATACAGGCAGCATCATACATACAGGCAGCATCATACATACAGGCAACATCATACATACAGGCAGCATCATACATACAGGCAGCATCATACATACAGGCAACATCATACATACAGGCAGCATCATACATACAGGCAACAAAAGGCACGCATTAGCGGTGTTATCCAGCAGTCTGCTCTGATTGGTTAGCTGGCCGGCTCTGTTCTGATTGGTCAACCAGCTTAGAGATGTCCCGCCCCTTAGCCTATCATTTGCAATGTGTTGGAGCGATAGCCAATAGAATTGGAGTGTTACATAGTGATGTCACTAGGTTCCAGAAGTAAACAAAGAAGTCCAATGGAGGCGTTTCAGGCAGGGGGAGGAGACACTACTTTATATATATATTTTTACCTACGGTTACAAAACATAGGGTCAAAATATATATATTTTATATATGTATGTTTTTTTAATGAGATTTTGGAGATTATGCAGATTTTTATACAGGGATTTTAGTCTTTGCAGACCATGTATATGCTATAGAACACACTATAGGAGAAGGACCTCTTTAAAATAGTTAGCAGACATTGTGTAGCAGTTGATGCTAATCTAGCTACATGTGAAAAGGTGCTTGCTTCCTCTACCATTAGGAACAAGAGAACTGCAGCTGCTGTGCTCCCAGTGAAGCCAAAGGTGTTGAGGAAAAAAGAGAGCTGTTGTTTTTTAAAGCAGGTTTTCAAGTTTTGCAAAATGAAGCATACTGGGAAGCTGAGTCCATGGAGCCATTGACTTTGGAGAACTCCCAACACACTATTACATTACATGTCACTTGTTAGACGCTTTTATCCAAAGCGACTTACATACTGTGGGCAATCCCCTCAGGAGCACTTTGGGGTGAAGTGTCTCAGGGACACAACGACATGCTGACTGCAGTGGGGTTTGAACCTGTGCTCCCCTGATCCCAACACCAACACTCTAGTCCACTGCGCCACACGCCTCCACTATATGGAGTTGAGCCAGCCGAACCTGCAGCAAACACAAAAGCATGAAATTATACATCATTAAGAGTCAACTTTCAGTTACTTTTCAATGCTAGTGGACAGAGGAGATGGAATGATTTGTCTGAAGTGTTTTAGTGAACTCTTAATGAGTTTAGTTTTTTATAGATGAGCAAACACAAATAATGAGCTGGCTTAGTCTCCGATGTTTCACCTACAAATATGATAGATAATGTCCAGCATCATGCTCAAATATGTTGTTTTCTTTCAAAAACCCTTTTGGAGATAATCAATTTAGTATAATAATAATATAAAGATTGTTTAAATTATAATTTGGAGCTCCAATACTGATTCAGAAAAGCTCTTTTTATCCTAGTTTATCTTTTATTTATTTTGAATGTTGTGTTTTTTTAAAGTTTTTGAACTACACTAATTCGTTGTACCATTATTGTAACTGTAGATTCCGCCCAAAGTGCTTAAGGACAACACTTTCTACAGTTTAATTATTATTTTATTATTTAAAGAATGCAAATGTATGTTTTACTAATAAGAACAAAAATGATGGTACACATGATGATGAGCAAAAACAATTTTTCTTGTGAAAACTAAGATGTTTTTTTGTCACGAGAGGGTGACTGTTTTGTTGATATGTGCACTATATGGAAAGGTTGATCAGTCTCTTGTAGAACTTACCTTTTTTACAGCGCTTTCTGATCAACTTTATAGCTGCAAGCAGAGCTAGAACTCCAGCAAGAGCAAAAACTCCCAAAATAATTCCACCACAGAAACGTGCATTCATTTCCGCTTTGCTGAACTTTTCCTCAAAGAGTTTCTCTGAAACACAAAAACAAATGTGAGAATGTGATTATACTGATATACACCTGAACATCAGCAGGAGAGGACTCTTTAAAGTAGAGACACTACATACTGATATACACATGAACATCAGCAGGAGAGGACTCTTTAAAGTAGAGACACTACACACTGATATACACCTGAACATCAGCAGGAGAGGACTCTTTAAAGTAGAGACACTACATACTGATATACACATGAACATCAGCAGGAGAGGACTCTTTAAAGTAGAGACACTACATACTGATATACACCTGAACATCAGCAGGAGAGGACTCTTTAAAGTAGAGACACTACACACTGATATACACCTGAACATCAGCAGGAGAGGACTCTTTAAAGTAGAGACACTACATACTGATATACACCTGAACATCAGCAGGAGAGGACTCTTTAAAGTAGAGACACTACATACTGATATACACATGAACATCAGCAGGAGAGGACTCTTTAAAGTAGAGACATTACACACTGATATACACCTGAACATCAGCAGGAGAGGACTCTTTAAAGTAGAGACACTACATACTGATATACACCTGAACATCAGCAGGAGAGGACTCTTTAAAGTAGAGACACTACATACTGATATACACCTGAACATCAGCAGGAGAGGACTCTTTAAAGTAGAGACACTACATACTGATATACACATGAACATCAGCAGGAGAGGACTCTTTAAAGTAGAGACACTACATACTGATATACACCTGAACATCAGCAGGAGAGGACTCTTTAAAGTAGAGACACTACATACTGATATACACATGAACATCAGCAGGAGAGGACTCTTTAAAGTAGAGACACTACATACTGATATACACATGAACATCAGCAGGAGAGGACTCTTTAAAGTAGAGACACTACATACTGATATACAACTGAACATCAGCAGGAGAGGACTCTTTAAAGTAGAGACACTACATACTGATATACACCTGAACATCAGCAGGAGAGGACTCTTTAAAGTAGAGACACTACATACTGATATACACCTGAACATCAGCAGGAGAGGACTCTTTAAAGTAGAGACACTACATACTGATATACACCTGAACATCAGCAGGAGAGGACTCTTTAAAGTAGAGACACTACATACTGATATACACCTGAACATCAGCAGGAGAGGACTCTTTAAAGTAGAGACACTACATACTGATATACACCTGAACATCAGCAGGAGAGGACTCTTTAAAGTAGAGACACTACATACTGATATACACCTGAACATCAGCAGGAGAGGACTCTTTAAAGTAGAGACACTACATACTGATATACACCTGAACATCAGCAGGAGAGGACTCTTTAAAGTAGAGACACTACATACTGATATACACCTGAACATCAGCAGGAGAGGACTCTTTAAAGTAGAGACACTACATACTGATATACACCTGAACATCAGCAGGAGAGGACTCTTTAAAGTAGAGACATTACATACTGATATACACATGAACATCAGCAGGAGAGGACTCTTTAAAGTAGAGACACTACATACTGATATACACCTGAACATCAGCAGGAGAGGACTCTTTAAAGTAGAGACATTACATACTGATATACACATGAACATCAGCAGGAGAGGACTCTTTAAAAGTAGAGACACTACATACTGATATACACCTGAACATCAGCAGGAGAGGACTCTTTAAAGTAGAGACACAACATACTGATATACACCTAAACATCAGCAGGAGAGGACTCTTTAAAGTAGAGACACTACATACTGATATACACCTGAACATCAGCAGGAGAGGACTCTTTAAAGTAGAGACACTACATACTGATATACACCTGAACATCAGCAGGAGAGGACTCTTTAAAGTAGAGACACTACATACTGATATACACCTGAACATCAGCAGGAGAGGACTCTTTAAAGTAGAGACACTACATACTGATATACACCTGAATATCAGCAGGAGAGGACTCTTTAAAGTAGAGAGGCTCGAGTGGCTCCTTTCCTTCCTATAGTGACACATCACCACACAGATATACAAATGCAACATTTATTAGATTTTTTCTTTTTATTGCTAGCTAATAATTAAACATTATATACCGCAAATTAATGAAAAGTGAAACAGAAAATCTGAAATCTAGAGACTTTTGAAGGTGATATTTTCCAAACACTCGTCCGATGGTCCTTCGCTCGTTGTAGAGTTGGCTGTTGATTTATTCTGATTTGAATCTTGCACAGTAACATCTCAGGTCTTCTTCTGGTGAGCTTATGTTTCATGGTGTGAAAACCTAAACTGTACATTGAGTGAAATGTGATGTTTTTAGGCTCTCTCTGTTTTAAATAGACTTAATTGGCTCTGTCAGCCAGGACAGTTAATAACCAAGACACTGACGAGGATTTTTAAAAGTTATTTATTACGTAGAGTTAAAAAAAACAATTTGACGAGACTTTTGTAATATCAACAACTCTGCATATAACAAATAAGCATGTACACATAGTTGAAGCAGTAATATAGCACCTGACCATCGGCTGGTGTTAACGATGAATCATGTTTGACACCTCGACATGGTTCACTTCAAGCTGCCAGCAGCTCGTTCTTCTAAAGCTACAAGCTGCTGCTGCTGAACACTGACAATAAAAACTTTAAGAGTCGAAGGTGAATATCCACTTTGCACACATCCTGCACAGCCTCGCTCTCCACAGGGACATTTCAACGTCCTTCTTCTTTGTTTCCATCAGGTGAGCATCTGAAGAAAATCACAGAAACTTTGTGTAAAGTTACAGCTGGAACTGTGACTCTAAATGTGGAGTGGGCCTGTTTGATCAGATGCAGGAGGCTCTAACCTGACTGGACTTCACACCAGGTCTCCCTGCTCCTCTGTGTCCTCTGTCTGTGCTGCAGTGTGTGAGTCGTTCTCATAATCAGGAATAGAGTCCAACTGATGAAGAGAGACAAGACTAAATTAGACCCTCGTTCATGAAACCTGCATATCCTTTAATATTTTATAAAACATTTTTCATATTTTAAAGTTGATGCCAATTATTTCTTTTCTAAATTCATTACTAGTTTCAACTCAGGAAGTAGTGTTTAATCACAAGTTCTCTTCACATTGCATTTATGAGCCACAGAATAGCTTTGACAAAGGGGACATGTTGTCAATAGGTCTGCTCTCTCTCACCTCTATCTCTTCAGGTGCTTCAGTGGTGGAGCGCAGAGCTTTCTTCTTCCTGGATTAAAGGCAACAACAAATACAGATTGTATTTCATAACAGTAAACTAAAAGATGTTTGAACTGATGAATTGATATTGTTGTACCTCGTCCAGAGACTCAGGAGAAACACAGGAATCAGGATCAAGACCCTCGTCCTGATGATATTCACTATCATTGTTGAACTCCCTAGAAACATGAATACATATGTGATACTTCTAACTGCTAGATTAGTAGATTGATAAATCACATTGTCAGTGTGATCCCCCTCTGACACCATGGAGGTTCCTCCATGAACACTGACATTTTGAATATGCTTGGGTTGCTTCATATTACAAAGTGAATCAGGTCTGGTGAATGTGGAGAACTTACCTGTTCCAACACTCAGAGTTAAGGTGGAGTTACTACGTCCTAACTTGTTCTGGGCTCCACAGGAATAACTCCCACTGTGTTCAGCTCTGAAGTCAGTGATGGTGAAGATCTGTCCTGAAGCTTTTGGAGAGTCTTCATCCTCCTTGTACCAGGTGTAGTTAGCTGCTGGGTTAGCATCACTGCTACAGGTCAGAGTCACTGAACTGCCCTCCTCTATCTCAGCAGAGGGACTCACTGACACAGAGGGGAGCTTTGGAGCATCTGGAGGAAGGATATGGAAATAGAAATGATTTCAAATATTAAAACATGTTATCACACATGATTGATTGATGTTTTTTCTTTATTATTTACATATTGTGATGTAGATCCTTGTGTTAGATTCCTGGAAACTAGCAGCCTTTATTTATCTTTCTTACATCAATGACCCCACACCTTTTTTCTTTTTATTACAAGACTTAGTTGAATACTTGATTCTGATTGGTGAATTTGGACATTTCGGAGGTTGTCAATACTCGCTAACAGAACGTTGCTAAGGATAACATTGTTGTTAAGGAGGATCAAGGGACTATGTGCAGTCATATCAATCCGCAGATAGAAGTCCGGCCGATTTAAAGTCAGCTGTGGACAGCAAACATCATAAAACACAGAGTACTTTTTGAATCTTCATATTTTATTTGTTGAGAGCACTGGCCAATTTTGAAAACACTTTGAACAGTTACTTGGACATATTTTGTAAACAATTGTAACACTTAACATGTTTGGCTTATTGCAAGCTAATGCGCTTGGAGGATACTTGTTGTTTGTATCTTTATGGTTGTCTGCCCTTATTGTTAGTCGCTTGTATGAAAATGTAATTGATGTAATGCACTTCAGAAGACCCTGGTGACTCCAGCATGTCTGAATTTGTCATTGTTTTGTAATGTCAGTGTGTATTTATGAGTAAACTCACACACTGGAGGAGAGGGGAAGTCTTCATGTCCTTCAAAAGCACAATAGATGTTGTCTCTGTGATGAAACAAGCCTTCATAAGAAGATTTCATCGCCCTCGTGATTTTCTCTCCGTTCTTGAACCAGACGTAGTTCAGAGAACCAGCTGGACGGCAGCTGCTGTGACACTTCAGCTCTGCCTCAGTAGAATAGTTGTAGACCTTTGCTCTGATCACCTGCACCTGGAGAGCTGGACCTTAGAACAAGAAACAATAGTATAGCAAAAGGTCTTTTTTTTATATATATATATAGATATACATACACATTAACACTACTGTGTATTGCTATTTGGAAATAAAGAGCAATAGTAAGTAACTCTTCATCCAATAGTCATTAGTCAAACATCAACTTTTCCAGTATTTTTAGGTGTACTTTGTATTTTCATCAGTGTGTGTTGATCAGTACCTGTGACAGTCAGAGTTGTACCAGGTAAATCACTCTTCCATTCAAAGCTTGGTGTTTTGAATTTGAAGAGATACTGAGCTGGATCTGAGTCTCTCAGGTCAGAGATCCTCAGAGTGGAGCGTCCTCTCTCTGTTTCAAAGATCTGAACACGACCTGCATACTGGGGGTCTTCACTAAGGTCCTCAGGTGGAGAGGGATTCTGTCCCTGATGACTACGCTCAGGACTGAACCAGAATTTAGATTTAACATCGTCTTCAAAGCTGCTGTACGTGCAGGACATGTCCACTGATGATCCTTTGGGGGCGCAGATGCTTCTCTCAGTGTAAGTCACTCTGTTACAGGTTTGACCTCTGACACCTGAAAAATAAAAACATATATTTGTTTCTATCTTTCAGCAGTAATTTGAACAGGAGTAAAAAATGACCAATAGAGTTCAATATAAAACACCACTAGATGTGTATGTGTTATTAGAAGTCTTTGGAGTCAACTCACACACTGGAGGAGAGGGAAAGTCCTCATGTCCCTTTAAAGCACAGGAATAACTGTCTGCAATGTTCGTTATATTTGTATAATAAGATGTTTCTCTCTGAATTCTTTGTCCGTTCTTGTACCAGATGTAGGGAGGATTATAAGATGGAGGACAACTGTTCTGACAATGCAGCCTGTATGATTCTGATGTGACCTGGAGATCTGGATTTGTGAAGGAACAGGAATTGTATTTAAGACAAAAACTGTCAAAACACATGCATATTATTATTATTATATCCAAGACATTAATACATAATTAACATATCATTGAAAATTGTTACTTGTGACGGACAAAGTGACGCCAGTTGAACCATCATATTTTCCATCTGGTTGGTTTGTTTCAAATCTGAACCAGTACTCAGCTGAGTCGCTCTCTGTCAGGTTTTTGATTCTCAGAGTGCAGACGTTGTTTTCACAGAGATCCTCTACACGACCTGAATACTCTGAGGCTGTGAACAGATCTACAAGTTCACCATCTTTCTGTTTAGTGGACCAGAATGTTTTCATAACTGTGTTTACACGACCTCTCCATGTGGATGGGTATTTGTAGGTGCATCTTATCTCCACTGTTGATCCTTTCACTGCACAGATCTTAGCAGAAGAGTAAGTCACTCCCCAGTCATCAAGACCCTGAACCGCTGTAACACAGAGCACATCAGAAACTAGAATCAAAGTTAATGACTTAAGTTAACAATTAGTTAATAAGACTCAGTGCATCAAACTAACAATTTGTTTATGGGGTGAATGTAACCAGAACAAGCTTCAAGATCAAATTATCAGCAGACATTATTATAAAAATGTTCATGAACATGAATCTATGAGCTGAACTGAAACTAAGAATCATATCATGTATTTATCATAGTTGAGTTTCTATGTACGTCACCTGTTAATTCATTTTAAGGCAGTTTATAACTGCTGCAAATACTAATGTATGACTTTGTTGTTTCTGAACTAAACCAGGTAGAACAGAAGTCCCAACACAAGGTGTCAACATGCCTGCAAGAACATTCAAAGATTAAGAATACTATTCATGATACATGTCTGTGCTTTTCTGGTCCAGTTTCCTCTCTGTTCGCTCTGTGGTCAGGTTGCTGCTGAGTTAAGTTGAACAATACAAATAAATGCAGAGCACTGAGGTGTGAGCAGCTTCTGTCTGATATACAGATAAGTAAAAGAAGAAGACTGCTGTGACTCAGAGCGTGGGAATATAACACTGAGGTCAGAGAGGAGAGAAGAAACTAGAAGGGTGTGGTGCAGATGTATGATCGATAAGAGTTGAGTCAATATGTTATGACTTAGAATAAGAAAATCTCTCTAAATCACTTAAACTTAAAGGGCACATGTCATGCTTTTCTGGTTATTACCCGTCCCCTTGTGTGTGATGTAGCTCTTTATGCATGTAAACGGTCTGCAGAGTCACAAACTCTGACCCCTAGATTCCACCGGGTCCGTCTGCGTCGCGTTACGGCCCGTCCACACAGCGGCGTGCGTTGAAAGCTTCACCATTCACTTTGAATGGGGTGACGTCACTTTTCGCCGAACTGCATTGTGGGAAGCGAAGTGGAGCTTTGCTGCAAAAGTTGAGCAATGTTCAACTTTTGAAGCCTCGGCAGAAGCGTCAGCCAATCGAATCATATGCCAGTACAAGCTCTAGCCAATCAAACCGCTGCTTGTGTGTCAGGGGCGGGAGATTCATGTGATTGGTTGTTGGTCGAGTTTCAGACACGCCCGCCGGCAAGCTTCAACGCACGCCGCTGTGTGGACGGGTCGTTACGGCCGCGGCGTTCGCAAAGATCGCGGCCACTCTAGTCAATGGGTGCTATTCCACCAGACGCGCCGCGTTGCGGCTCGGAAGCGTCCCGGAAGCGTCCCAGAAGCGTCTCGGCGCTGGGCTCCGCTCAAAATAGGATTCAAGTCTATTTTTCGACGCGACGCGAGGCGTTGCAGAGGCGCCGGGCAGGAAGTGGACCGGTCAGAGCATCCGGCCCATTCCCAAAATAAACAAATTTTGCAGACCCTATCCCTCCGTAGTCTTTCAAGTAGGAGGAGAAATGCCAACGTTCTCCTCCGGTTTACAGGCACTGTGTAAATTATATATATAGAATAATTATGATGATGAATGCATTTTTTTACCACTAAAATACAGCAACACATCTTTGATTCATGTCGTTTATAACTGGAATATTACAGTTATTATTAACTTTGTCTGTACAAAGTAGCCTGTCCAGGAAATATGCCCAAATCAACAAAAACTACGAGCCGGCAGGCAAGACTCTCCGCTTCTGAAATGCTTCTGAAACGCGCCTGGTAGGGTATGACGCCGGAGGAGGCTGGACCAAAACCGCGGCGCAGCCGTGACGCGACGCAGACGGACCCGGTGGAATCTAGGGGTAACACAGAAAATACCTGTCTTTGCTGCCCCAGAACGCCTCGTTGGAGATTTCTCTTTTTCCATTGTTTACTTCTTGGGTATAGTGACGTATTTCGGGTATAGTGACGTAACGTAAGGTCCGCGGAGCAGTTACGTTTGGACCACTCCGCGGACTTCCTCACACACACACTCGGCGGGACGTTGCGAGGCTCGCTGCTGCGAGGAGCGGGACAGTGTGAGCTGGCTCACTGGTGTGGGGTCGGCGAGACAGCGAGACACCGCGGAACTCAGCCTGGGCACACACACAAACTCCCAGCCAGGCTGCGGGTGAGTGTGTGTGTTTGGGGCTGAGTCTCGCTGTCTCGCAGACGGCCACTGGGCTCACAGGGAGGGGGGGGGGGCAGGAGCTCCAACAAGCCGTTTAGGACAGAGAGTGAATACACATACTATACAGAGATGCTGTATGAGAAACCAATGTGAGTTTGGAAAATTGCACAATATAAATGTATTTTAGTAGACCTCAACAATGGAATTATGATCAGTAGAAATGGCCATGACATGGGACCTTTAATAAAAACGGAGCTGGAGATTCTTTAAAGGGGACCTATCATGCAAAATGCACTTTTGTACGTCTTTTATATATGAATATGTGTCCCCAGTGTTCCAGGGAACTCACCAAGTGTCAGAAAACACAACCCTCTCTATTTTCCTCCATACCCAAATCTCTAAAAAAGGGGCTGCAACGGATCTGATAAAAACTGATCCAGATTTGGTGCAGTTGTGACGCGCAGAGTCTCCTTCAGCTTCATAAATGGACGCAAAGAGCTTTCAACTGATTGCAATGTATTCCCATCGGTGGCGGTATTTGACGCTCAGGGAAACACCGCATCGGTCCATGTCGGCGGCAATTAAAGGCAATGTGAGCCCATTTGATAACGGAAGATTTTACACCCGGAAGTAAGTATTCTCTTTACTGTCGATTGATTTTACAGTGATATCTGCACTACTCATCAACTCAAAAACACCAGATTATCCTTGTTAATTACACAACAGTGATTGGTTTAAATTGTGTGCAATGCTTTTGTATTTTTCCCCTTCGATTCGGAGAAAACAAATATTTTTTTGGAGTTTAGGATGGCAGAAGACACTACACTACCCAGAATCCTCAGCTATCGTTTAGGACTACACCATGTGCTTTGTTTGACAAACCCCGTGATTAGTCCTCAAGCTCTGTGATTGGTTGACCTCCAACTGCATTCCATATGAAAAAAAACGTTTCGTAAAAGATCAAATCATACTTTATTCAGCAGTGCTTGCTTTACTCTTTGAAAGTCATCACATGAATGCATTGCAATAAATGGTTTGGCTGCATTAAACATTACACATCTGTCGTAGTTCTTTATTTATCTACAGAGATCGGGCCTCAGAATAGACCGGAAACTATTATTTTACCGTTCTGTTTTAATTTCACAATAAAGTTAGCAGTAATATTTTGTTTTGATATTATTGTTTTTTATTAACTACTAGACCGCTGGGTCATGTTAAGACCATCTTTTCTGTGTTGCTGTGGGTTTTTTACATCGCTTTTGTGTTACAAATATAAAACAATAACAAAATATATCTGTCGTAAACTAAACCGGAAACAGCAGTATATTTTATTTTGTTAACACTGTAAACTTGACAGCTTTTTAACCCGCACCTCCTACTGGTTAAAGCACGTTATTACACGTTTAGAGTAATTGCAATGCAGGTAGATTGTGTTGCTTTTTAATGACTGTTTAAAAAGCCTTTTTCTTAATGTCTTTCATTTTTGTAAAGCACTTTTGAATGTGTTATATTTGATGAAAACATTTAAATATTAAGAGTACATACAAAATAGGAGGAAAGTAGGTCAATGATAGAAATATAGAATAGAAAATATCAAGAAGATACTGTAAATCAGGGGTGGGGAACCTCCGGCCCCCGGGCCGTATACGGCCCGCGAGACCATTTGGTACGGCCCTCGAGGTAATTTATAAACACACGCAAAAAATAAAAAATGTTAAAGGAGAGGTGTCATGGCCATTTCCACTGATCATAATTCCATTGTTGAGGTCTACTAAAATAGATTTATATTGTGCATTATTCCAAACTCACATTGGTTTCTCAAACAGCATCTCTGTAAACTACGTGTATTCACTGAATTTCACTCTCTGCCTTTAACGGCTCGTTGTAGCTCCAATAGCTCCAGCCCCCACCCTCCCTGTGAGCACAGTGTGCTCTGATTGGTCGGGACATTGTGAATCGCGCTGAGCTCCGTGGAGGTGTTGTTTCCTTGTTTAGGATACATAGCGAAACACAGCCAAACTCATCCTGAGCAGACACAAACTCACAGTCGAAGTACAAACAATAAGTGTGGCTTGATATTGAGTAAGAAAAAGGTTGATAAACGCTGTGAGAATGGGTCTGCAGAGAGAATGGGTCTGCAGAGAGAATTTTGCCGGGATCCCAACTGTCTGTGTTATCAGCCTGCAGCCAGGGAGGAGAATTCAGCAGAGCTGCCTGTGTGTGAGGAAGTCCGTGGATTGGTCAATTTGGACCAATCAGCGGGGGCTTAACGTAACGGCTCCGCGGACGTAACGTAACGGCTCCACGGATTGGTCCATTTCGTTCCGGGTACGGCATGACATCATGCCGTACCCGGAAGAATCAAATGGACAATGACGTATCTCCAACGAGGCGTTTTGGGGAGGTATTTTCTGTGTTAGAGTTTTACTCGCTACAGGGTGTACTTTGAGGGTTTTCACTCTGCACACCGTTTACATGCATAAAAACCTTCATAACACACAAGGGGACGGGTAATAACCAGAAAAGCATGACACCTCTCCTTTTTTAAGAAATCTAGACCGTAAAAAAATTAAACAAGCGAGTGCCTGTTTTTCCTGGGTTAGGTCAGGGTCCTTGAACACAACACGAGTCTAACGTGTCATCACGTGGTATATGTCCCGTCTGACAGGGGTGCAGTTCTGCAGGAGAGCACCAGAACGCCACTCCGGGCGGGACTTCACAAATTGCAGTACCCATAAGGAGTTTACGTGTCTGTGTCTTTACGTGTCTGTGTCTTTAGTTGAAAGCCCAGTGGCGATCTGTTCATCTGTCATACTGATCATACAGTCTTCCCCGGGCGCCGGACATAATGGCAGCCCACTACTCCTAACACTAGGATGGCTCAAATGCAGAGGAACAATTTCGTTACATAGTACCTGTACTGTGAAATGACAAAAATAGCAATTTAATTTTTTTTTTTAATAACTTTGTTGTTATTAGCATCTGGTTAGCTAGCTATGCTAACGAATATAAGAAGCTTTTTCTCCAACCAGTGAGGTAAAGGCACATCTTTATATGATCATTATAGTTATAAAAAAATAAGAGAATAAAGTAAACAGGTATAAAATACTATATGACAGTAAAAGAAAGTTGTTATTAATAAACAAAAATACAGTTTAAAAAGGGGAGTGATTTGTAAAATATCCATAAAGAAAATCTGCTTCCAGTTCTGTTTCAAATGGGTGTTGAGAGATGTATCCATAGATCTCCTAATGTTGCTCTCAAAGTGCACCAGATTGATGCTTTTAACTTCAACATTTAAAAAAAAATCTTCCCGGGGAGCATGCCCCCCGGACCCCCCTAGAGGAGGTTAGGTCCCCCCCCCCACTTAAATCATGTCCACATGGATAGGAAACTAAATACATTCGCACACATCTTGTGTCCATATCTTTCTGTTTTGGGGGTCATGCCACACCGTGCTCGTGCATGCATGCGCGAGTCATGGTGAGATATCTGGATTAAGAGGTTGCTTTTTCTTTGCACAGCATGAAAGAAAGGCCAAATGAATGGGCTGTGATTTTAGTATTTTTAAGCAGAGGTCAATAATTTGTACGGCCCTCGGAGGATGTTGAAAAATGTAAATGGCCCTTGAGAGGAAAAAGGTTCCCCACCCCTGCTGTAAATGATATCTAGAATAAAACAGTTTAGTGCCTGATAGGAGGATGTGCAAAACAGACAAACTAATTAGGCTTTATTTAAACATTAAATAATACTTTAGGTTAAGGTCTTCTTTTAAATACATGTAAGCAAAAAGCTTTGGGGGTATCTGATAAATATTAAGCCTGACAAAGTACTTAACGTTTAATATATTGCATGGTTTGTTTTGGGACTTGACAATCAACTTTCCTGCAATGTTAACTATGTTGAAGCACTTGATAGATGTCTTGTAATGCACTGTTGAGGAACCTGTGACCCAAGTTTTTCATTCATTGCATAACTACACCATAGTTGTGTATATGATATGTCAATAAACCTTTGAAAATCTTGAAATCTTGAAAGGGATGTGCAAAATAGCCATTATATACAGTTTTTGATGAACGATTAGAGAATAACGAGTAATGAATATGCTTTATAGGGATCTGCAGATACATTTTTTGTCTTCTCAAGCACCCACTACCAAATATCTCGCCTGATTGTTGGCACTTGACAATCACCTTCACTGAATTTTACTCAGGTGTAACTAAAGTCTGATTTAAGTGTTGTTTATATTTCACATCATTAATCAGAATCTGCAAAGTAACTAAAATAAATGTAGTGGAGTAAAAATACCAGGTTAACCTTAAAGAAAGCCCTCAGGGTTATAAAAGACCCCCATCACCCCACAAACTGTTCTGTCTGCTGCCGTCTGGCAGGCGGTACCGCAGCATCCGGACTAAAACCACCAGACTCAGGGACAGCTTCATCCCACAGGCCAGAAGACTATTAAACACCTGAACTTAGAAACAACATCCATAACATTCATCTGGCTGCTACTTAGAAATTATTTATCTAATATATCATATTCAATCACTTGTATATAGACTCTTATTGCACTATTTAACTTTTTACTATTTTACTATTTTTCTTTTTGTATTTACTTGCACTATTTTTTCTGTGTATCTGTTTTATTGTGTTGCACTGTTGGAGGAGCCTGTGACCTAAGGGGGGGGGGGGGGAGGTAGGACACGTTAGATTCCTGTTTTGGTTAGTGTGCCATCGATAGGTTTCATTCCATTTCAAAATGCTGTTTGACGCTCCGTGTAAACTTCGCGCACTGCCACTCCAACATCCAATCACAGAGCTTGAGGACTAATCACGGGGTTTGTGAAGCAAAGCACATGGTGTAGTCCCAAACGATAGCTGAGGATTCTGGGTAGTGTAGTGTCTTCTGCCATCCTAAACTCCGAAAAAATATTTGTTTCTCCGAATCGAAGGGAAAAAATACAAAAGCATTGCACACAATTTAAACCAATCAATGTTGTGTAATTAACAAGGATAATCTGGTGTTTTTGAGTTGATGAGTAGTGCAGATATCACTGTCAAATCAATCGACAGTAAAGAGAACACTTACTTCCGGGTGTAAAATCCTCCGTTATCCAATGGGAATGGACGCTCACATTGCCTTTAAATGCCGCCGACATGGACCGATGCGGTGCTTCCCTGAGCGTCAAATCCCGCCGCCGATGGGAATACATTGCAATCAGTTGAAAGCTCTTTGCGTCCGTTTATGAAGCTGAAGGAGCCTCGGCGCGTCACAACTGGACGCCACGGGACCCTGACCAAGCGTCGCTCCTGGACGTTCAGGGAGTGAGAGTGTGTTGACAAGTGAGAAGCAAACTGATATTTTATGCAAATTCTTCGAGCAAAGGACAGTGGCAACGCAGGACAAGATCTTCAGAAAATCCATCAAAAATACTAGTAACGTCTTTGTGTTTCTACAATTCTACACACAAATACATTTAAAATGTTTCTGCTAGGTTTGCCTTTTATACAAATCCATCCAACTTATTCCCACATGCAGGGCTGTCCCTGGCCAACTGGAGGCCCCACGCAAAGTTATATGATGAGGCCCTCTGTTTCGCGAGCGTCGACGGGGGGGTGCTAGTGGAGCCTTGCAGCGGCGATTCCACACTTGCGCCGTATTTGCGGCTCAGTTGAGGCTCCCCCCGCAAGATGAGGCCCCCTCCGCGAGGTGAGGCCCCAGGCAGTTTGCATGATCGGCCTGTAGGGAGGGACGGCCCTGCCCACATGTGACCTGGTTTTACAAGTCCCACATTTCCCCAGAATCCCCTCTTTTCATGTGATGAATGTAAGTGTAGATGTACAGTACCTGACACAGAGAGCAGGAAGACAACTAATCCACTCGCTGCTGCAGTTAGACTCATAGCTGCTCCTCTCATCTCTGTGAGACTATAAAACATGTCAAATTAAATAATGTTCACAGGAGGTATACAGAATCATTACATCAATAAACTGTTTCTACTTACAGTGAAGGAGGAACGATGTGTTTAGAGATGCCTTTCCTCTGTCGTCAATGAGCAGAAGACGGATATTAAAAGACTAGATTTACTTCCTCTTTGGCGGATTAATATGCATGATGAGCAAAACCCCAGTAACACCCATCACACAGTTATGTTTTGTTGTCAGAAAAAATAAACTATGGCTTTAACTTGTTTGGCTGCCGATATACCACTGACACCAGAAAAGACAATTCAAATGAAGAAGAGAATAACAGTTCATCTCTATGAGCACGGAGGAAGTCACACAGCCTGAAGGTGTAGTGAAGGAACAGGAAGGCATTATTAACCTGTGAAACCACGAGGCAGTTTTACTGAACAGCATGAAGAGCTGCGTATTCATTATAAGAGATAATGGAAAATGCCATATAATTTATCTTGGTTTGTTTCTTCTCTGTTCTCTCTGCGGTCCGGTTGCTTCTAAGAAATGCAGAACACTGAGACGGGAGAAACTCACATGCCTGTCAGTGCAACACACTCTCACTCCATAAACGTCCAGGAGCGACGCTTGGTCAGGGTCCCGAGGCGTGCAGTTGGGACGCTCCTAGGCTCCTTCAGCTTCATAAAGGGACGCAATTAGCTTTCAACTGATTGCAATGTATTCCCATCTGCGGCGGGATTTGACGCTTAGGGAAGCACGGCATTCGTTTGCGTCGGAGGCTGTTAAAGGCAATGTGAGCGTCCATTCCCATTGGATAACGGAGAATTGTACACCCGGAAGTAAGTATTCCCGTTACTGTCGATTGATTTGACAGTGATATCTCCACTACTCATCAACTCAAAAACACCAGATTATCCTTGTTAATTACACAACATTGATAGGTTTTAGTGTGTGTACAATGCTTTTGTCACATTTTCCCCTTCAATTCTGAGAAACAAGTCGTTTTCTATGAGTTTTGGATGGCCGAAGACATTACATTACCCACAATCCTCTGTAGCAACCATAAGGCTTGTTTGAGACGAGCTGCGGCTCGCCTCGAAAGTAGACGAGAATAGCCGATCGCAGCCGGGGGAGGTCTCAAAAAGCTCGCCTGAAGTCGGACAGCTCGGAGTCGGCTTCTTCCTCTTCTTCTTCTTCTCTCGGTTTTTTGGCGGATTGCAAACAACTTTAAGGTGCATACTGCCACCTCCGGAGTCGGCTTGACTCGGTTTGCATTTATAAAGAATGCACAAATGTGTTTAATCGTTAATGTCAGATATGTACTAAGTAAATAAATGTGTTCCTGCTCAAGATTAGATTAAACTTTATTGTTATTGCACAGATTACAGGTACTGAGACAACGAAATGCAGTTTAGCTTCTAACCAGGAGTGCATAAAGCAGTAAAGTGAAAAGTAATGTACACAATCTACAGAATAAAATATAGAATGAATTGAATGATGAATAAACAGTGAGGGGTATGAATACACTATATACACAGTAGCCTAGCCTAGTATGAACAGTGTGTTGTATGAATATGCTAAGATATATAAAGTATGACAACGGTAAGCAGTGCAAGTGTAGTATAAAATAAAATATATAGATAATGATGATAAACATTGTGGAACAATGATGAAAAATGTGAATGGAAGTGGCGACGTAAAACTGACACAAAACAACAACACACTTTTGCCGAGCCAATGGAGAGTTTCATCTCCAGCACGGGGTAAAACCCACCAATGAGCGCTCAGCTCGAGATACCAGCGAGTCGTTTCCCATCAAGCATTTCGCTTCCGCAGCCCGTGGAGAGAAACTGCGCCGCCTCGCCGCGCCTCGCGCTCAAGTCTGCGGGCGTCTTTGTCCCGCGAGATTTCAACGTCTCATGTAGGCGAGCCTCCAGAGCAAGTCGGACAAAATGACTAACCATCATGCAACGCACGAGCAAGACGTTGATCGCAATTGCGCAGGTCTGCGCAGGTCTCGCTTGTCTCAAACAAGCCTATAGACTGTATATTGCAACAGGCAACAGCTTCGGTTCATGTTAATTTACAAACTCTTCAACTACAACCGTAGATATATTTAAAAACATGTTAGAAGGCCTCACGAAATACTTTAATGTAAATTTAAATTTAAATGTGAAGGAATGTGTGTATATTAACTGTGGGTTTTTCTCTGGAAGTTTTTCCTTGTACGATGTGAGGGTCAAAGGACAGATGATGCCGTTTTTCTCATACTGATATTCCGCTATGCACGCTGGGATTTGGTGTTTATGCGATGTGAAATCCGAAAACATTTAAAAAAAAAATAATAATACATTATTCCGAGTGTGCTTGCTTTTCTCTTTGAAAGTCATCACATAACGGCATTGTAATACACGTTTCGGCTGCATTAAATATTACATATCTGCCGTAGTTAACTCTATTTATAGAGCCCTGATGACAAGACTTCTAGACAAACAGGAACTGCCGCCAAAACTGAAAACTTGACGTGGATCTTAAATATATCAGCAATTAAACAACATCTTACATTTCTTTTCACACAATACTTCTCCTTGCAGTATCAACACTAATTCGGCTGACTTTTATATTTGATCCAATTGGTAGATAGGCTGTATTTACGCCATAACGTTGCACAGCTGATAGAAAGGGACACCTACTGGTTAAAGCACGTTATTGCATTTTATAATTGTATTATTAGATATTAATAGGATCCCTATAAAGTATATTCTTTACTCGTCGTTATTCTCTACTAATAGTTAATTAAAGACTGTATATAATGACTATTTTGCACATCCCATTCAAGATTTCAAGATTTTCTAAGGTTTATTGACATATCATATTATACACAACTACGGTGTAGTTATGCAATGAATGAAAAACTTGGGTCGCAGGTTCCTCAACAGTGCATTACAAGACATCTATCAATATATGTGTATACCTAGGGATGCATATCGTTGACTTTTTTACGATACCGATACCGATACCGATACCACTGAACGATACCGATACTCAACCGATACATATCGTGATACTTTCATGTTGCATAAGGGAAACATTTTATCACCCCGCAATTACTCCCATGAAGCGCTTTATTATATAGTTAACATGTCAAATGAATATTAAATTCAATTGTGGGACTTGGACCTTTTAGTACTGAACAAACAATGAAAAACACATTATCTATGAAGAAAACTGATTCTGCAATATCATTTATAACAACCATCAGGCGGGAATAGTACATCTTGTCAATGAAAAAAAAAAATAGCACCAGTGTAATTAATATTCAATCTGAGATTCGACTGACCAGAGAACACATAAAGGATCATGAGATCTCGGCATTGCACATAAAACAAATAGCATCCTTAAAATCAACATTTGCCTGATGAAAGAAAACAAATCCCATCACAGTTCAGTTTTGTGCATTCATCTTCAAGAAGATGAGCATATCTGCTCTCTGGATCCAAACGGGCCCTTTCACAGCGTAGGATATCACCTGCTAAACTGAACACTCTCGCTTGGCACGCTGCTTCCCTGAACACAAAGGTACTTGGTTGCCATACGAGACAGCATTGGTTGGAGATTGGATGTGTTGCCACCTTTCCCATAAATAAACTTCTTGCAGTGGTTACAGACCCCACCATTCAGACTGGCAGTGGTTACAGACCCCACCATTCAGACTGGCAGTGGTTACAGACCCCACCATTCAGACTGGCAGTGGTTACAGACCCCACCATTCAGACTGGCAGTCATATGCAGCCACACTTTAGATTTTCAAAAGTGACTTGGTTGCGGAGTTTCACTGCGAAATTGACATCGTAATTCCGACGGTTTGGGCACAAGTTTAAGGATATTATGCATCACTTTTATAAAAAAAAAAAAAAAAAAAAAAAAAAAAAAAAAAAAAAAAAAGTATCGAAAACCGGATCTGATTTCGGTACGGTATACCGTAGCCACCAGTAACCGGTATTTCGGTAATACCGGGAACCGGTATGCATCCCTATGTATACCTCCATTAAACTGTCATATTCTGCACATTTCTTATACTATCTACATACATCTTATAAGAGTATAGTATAATATCAGTTAAAATAAGTGCTTCAACATAGTTAACATTGCTGGAAGTATACACACATATTGATAGATGTCTTGTAATGCACTGTTGAGGAACCTGCGACCCAAGTTTTTCATTCATTGCATAACTACACCATAGTTGTGTATAATATGATATGTCAATAAACCTTAGAAAATCTTGAAATCTTGAAAGGGATGTGCAAAATAGTCATTATATACAGTCTTTAATTAACTATTAGTAGAGAATAACGACGAGTAAAGAATATACTTTATAGGGATCCTATTAATATCTAATAATAAAAATAATAAAATTCAATAACATGCTTTAACCAGTAGGTGTCCCTTTCTATCAGCTGTGCACCGTTATGGTGTAAATACAGCCTATCTACCAATTGGATCAAATATAAAAGTCAGCCGAATTAGTGTTGATACTGCAAGGAGACGTATTGTGTGAAAAGAAATGTAAGATGTTGTTTAATTGCTGATATATTTATGATCCACGTCACGTTTTCAGTTTTGGCGGCAGTGCTTCCTGTTTGTCTAGAAGTCTTCTCATCAGGGCTCTATAAATACAGAACTACGGCAGATATGTCATATTTAATGCAGCCGAACCGTGTATTACAATGCCGTTATGTGATGACTTTCAAAGAGAAAAGCAAGCACACTCGGAATAAAGTATTATTTAATTTAAAAAAAATGTTTTCGGATTTCACATCGCATAAACACCATTTCCCAACGTGCATTGCGGCTAAACCATCCAATCACCGAGCTGAGGATCTTGCCTACGTCTGTTTCTGGTTTTGTTTATGACGATGTGATGTGAGATGTGAGATGTGAGACTGGGTTGGAGAATTGCACAGGGGAAAATAACGTATCTATGCCACAATTTTAGATGCAAACTAATACGTTTGCGCTGTGGACCAACACTATAAATTGACGGGGAAGGGGGTAGCAATAAAGATAACACCATTAAACAGTTACACAACAGGGACGATAGCAGCGTCCCTAGCAACCACCTTGGTAACAATGAAAACGTTGTATTTACACAATTTCCTGAAGTATTCTTCGTAATAACTAGCAAACTAAAGATCATGTACATCCACTGCACACATAATCTGAAATAACAACTCATATTTCTCGCATCAAATGACATCAAAACGCATTTTAAAGGTAGGGTAAGTTTGAGAAACCGGCTCGAGATACACTTTTTGTTATATTCCATGGAATGCTCTTAACATCCCGATAGCAATGAATATCTGAAGTGCTTTGACAAAAAATCCATAAAAATGTCATCTGTGGAAGCCGTAGTAGGCTACTGTAAAAAGCTTACATACCCTACCTTTAATGGCCAAACTAACCTTAAAATAGGCATTTTCCACCGAGAATAAAACGAAGGTCGGCCATGTTTTTTTATTTCTGCAGAGAGAAATTTGAAGATCACGTGACATAAAACGTAGGGATCCTACAATTTCAGAGGCGTTTTTGTAGAAATACTACGTCCCAAGTTGTGGACAAATGTAGTTATTACACGTTTAGATGTGAGACTGGGTTGGCAGACCCCACGCAGCAACCAGGAAACGACACCAGTCAGCCAGCTCACACTGTCCGCTCCTCGCAGCAGCGAGCCGTGCAACGTCCCGCCAACACGGCACCCAGACCCCACGCAGCATTCTCATCTGTTTGTCATTACTGGTGTCCTTTTCTGGTTGCTAACAAACGCCATTGTAACACATAATCACTGATGTTCCGCTGTATGCAGCGTCCACACGGCGGCATGCGTTGAAGTTTGCCGGTGAGCTTGTCTGAAACTCTACCAACAACCAATCACATGAATCTCTCGCCCCGGACACACAAGCACGCGGTTTGATTGGCTAGAGCTTGTACTGGCATATGATTTGATTGGCTGACGCTTCCGCCGAAGCTTCAAAAGTTGAACATTGCTCAACTTTTGAAGCAAGCAACGCGAGCAAAGCGAAGCAACGCTCCCACAATGCAGTTCGGCAAAGCGTGACGTCACCCCATTCAAAGTGAATGGGCAGAAGCGTTGAAGCTTCAACGCACGCCGCCGTGTGGACGGGCCGTAACGGTGGTGGACTCATCAGAACAGAGTGGGCGAGCTGACCAATCAGAGCACAGTGGGCTCATAGGGAGGGGGCTCCAACAAGCCGTGTAGGACAGAGTAAATACACATACTATACAGAGATGCTGTATGAGAAACCAATGTGAGTTTGGAACATTGAACAATGTAAATTCTAGTAGACCTCAACAATGGAATTATGATCAGTAGAAATGGCCATGTCATGGGACCTTTAAGTTATTATATATGTGGGATGGGATGGTCATTTAAAAAAGAAAGCACACAAGAGAAGTGAATAAGTAAGGGATAATGTGCAGCGAGGCGGTCAACTGGCATGCATCCGCTAAGAAAAATAGTCCGTTGTTACTGTTTGAACTACGTAGCAACGGCAGGAACTGCTTCGATAGCGTTTTTGCGGAGCTTTTTGATTACAGATTTGAAAACATCGTTGCTTGCTTTAAAAGTAGCACAATTCATTATGTCAAACCTTGGAAAGTATCTAGATATCCCTACCCTAATGCCAAAGTAACTGGCAACTGAATATGTTTTGCCGTTTGATGTCTGGACCGTTGCGTAAAAAGGACCGCAGCTCCGTGTTGAGGGTTTCTGCCCCGTTACTTCTCCGCTGTTTTCTTGTCCCTCTTGTCTTGTCGGGTTGAACTGTATAAAATTAAATCGACCGGACTTTTTTCTGCAGATGTGAGCGTCCTTAGCAACGGTCAATAAATCCTTGACAGCGGTATGTACTACTGGATTAACAATGTGTCACGTGTTCTGAATTGACCAATAAGAATCGAGTATTCAACTATACCATGAAATAAAAGAAAGTATGAACCTTATTTTGTATTATATTTAGCAGGAATAAGTTATGAATTACTGTCAAATGTTTGAACAAACCAGAACCTTTTCTTGGTGATAAAACTTAAATAAAAAGATGCATAAAGTATTCAAAGAAATCACAATCAAAAACAGAGAAAATGTTTTTATAGCTGAAATCAACATGATCTCAATTTGGTCTGCATTATTATTATCCTCTTGACTTTTTAAAACCCAAAACAAATAATGTAAGATATCACTACAGAAGTGGTCAGTCTGATTTAACGTTTATATTATTATTTTTTACAACATTTTCAATGAAAAAAAATAAATGTCTCTTTTGTTTTTTGACATATAAAATCTTTTCAAGATAAAAACATGACAGGTTATTAAAGCAGGTACAGTTGACATGAGTGGGAAATAGAAAAATAAAGCACCTTAGATTCATAAAGCCCATAATATACAAACACACACAGGGAGGCTGGTGGAGGAGCAAAGGAAACATGTCACGGTGTCAAATGAAACACTTTTCCAACAGAAACATGTTAATTATCCCAAATATACATCTTTTAAAACAAATAAAAAAGGCTGTTTTGGTCGAGTGTGATGCTGAGTGGAAAACAGGAAGTGACTGTAGTGATTCAGGCTCCATGTGAGTGAGAAGAAAGTCACTTTACATCCATTACTTTGTCTTTAAATCTTCACTTCCGGCCCTTATTCTTTCCTTCCTTCCACACTTTTTTAATATCTCCTCTTCCTGTGTTTGTGTCCGTCCTCAGTAGCTAATAAGGTTTGAGATATTGTCATATTTACATGTTAAAAAGTCACGTATTGGTGGACAGTGAAATGGATTTACAATATTTACTATAAACCTGGTTCCATTATACAGTATGTTGTATTTACAGATGAGTGTTGAGGTTTCTGCATTACATCGTTTGACCACCAGATGGCGCTGACAGATTATAAAGAATATGTTTTATTGTTTTAAAAAAAGGCACGATGAGTAGATTTCCCTTAAAAAGAATAATTGATAGACTCACAATGAATCCGGAACGATCAGTGCATAAAACTAAAAGTATTCGTTAACTATTTTGATAATTAATAAATCACTCAAGTCATTATTTCATGAAAAAACTAAATATAGAAACATATTTTTTTAGCCTCTCACATTTTGAGATGTCCTGCTTTTCTACATTTTGGATTAAATTGAGTATCTTTTGGTTTTGCACTGACCAAACAAGATGTTTGAAGACGTCAGATTAGACATTTTATTTTCCATTTAACACACTATTAATTAATTGAGGAAATAAAGGGACAAATTCCACTCATTGTGCCTTTAAGTAACAACAGTATTGCCCAATATATGGACACCAGAGCTTTGGAATACAGATATACGTATCATCTTCCACAATACAGAACTGTCCGACTCTATAACCCTTTCTATAGAAATGTGTGTGTTTATTCACCCGATAGAGATAGGGTTACAGAGTTTTTAAAAGTGTGTTTATATGCGCTAACATTTTCTGTCAGTGTACTCTGGAGGCTTTAGGGACATTACATTAAAAAATAAAAGCCTTTTAAAAGGTCATAAATTATAAAAATGTGTGTATTTATTATATTTTCAAGTCTCAGTTCTGAATGTTTTGTCCAGTGGGAAAGAGGCTAAAGTCAATCATCAAAACACATAGAGTGATGGTGGGGTTCACGACCTCCAGGATCTACTTCCAGGTAGTAAACATGTCAATTTGTGCGTAAATGCAGGTTTTTTTAACAGTGGTAAACGGGCGATGGAGTCTTTTCACATTGCAGGTAGACCAGTTTGGCTTTAGGTGTTTTTGTTTCTAGTGTTTCACAGACTACACAAATATAACAAATGTCCACATGTCATTTAGTCGTCTGTCCGAGCCCAGCGTCAGTGGATGATAGTGGGTTTTGTCCAGTTGGTAAAGTAAAGCCTTTCCAGAATAAAAATGTAAATGAAAATAATTTCACGTCTTTCGCTCCAGAGTCCAACCCACACCCACGTTTCTCAAAACCAGTGCAAGTCCCGTCTTAAAATCATCTTTTAGCAGCGAGTTTGATTTCCTTTCTTCTGTGTTTTCGTTTTAAAATGTGTTTTGTGCCGCGCTACGACTCCCGAACCTCATTTTCCGTCCTCTTCGGTCTGTCCATAAATCTGTCAATCGTCAGGTATTTCTCTCCCTCCTCCTCTTCCTCCCCCCGATGTCTCTTTGCTAAATCGCTCGCTATCGCCAACGCTCCACCTTTGAGGAACCGGACAAAGTTTTCCCCGACCAGCGGCCCCATGGCGTACAAACCGGGCCCCTCCGCCCCCAGAACCTTGTTGGTGAACGGATCCACGTCTATGGGGTTCCTTCGGCAAGTAATGGGTTCCTCCGGGTAGATTCCCAGCGCTCTGCCATTTTCCCGCAAGAAGGAGAGGTTTGGATGAGCTCCAATCAGAACCAGCGCTTTGGAGATCTGCAACACCGTGCGTTCGCCAGAATCCGACTCAAGGACGCACTTCTTGTCGGGTCTGAACGCCACTACTTTGTATCGTGGGAAACTGAGGTATCCCGAGTAAGAGGAGGAAGAGGAGGAGGAGGCAGGGGGAATGGAGGAAGAGGAAGAAGAGGGGGGGGTTTGCAGGTTGTGGGCGTGGCTTTGAGGGGGAGGCGGGGCCTGGTACTGCTGCTGAGTCATCATCTGGTGAATCTGCAGGAAGAGACAGGAAGTGAGTGGAAGACATCAAACAGGTTTTAATACCACAAAGCAAAGAAGGAACATGGATGGTTTTGAAGTGAAAAAGGGGATTTATCCATAGTCAGTCTATTAACTACAGAAAAAGGGGATTATCCATAGTCAGTCTATTAACTACAGAAAAGGCAGGAGGGAGAAACATGTCTTATAAATCTGGTTTTATAACCACAAAGCAAAGAAGGAAATTGATGGTTTGAAGTGAAAGAGGAATTTCTCTATAGTCAGTCTAACAAAAAAAGCTGGACTTCTCCATCTGGACTCAAACCATTGACTCATTATCGCCATTAGAGGAACAAGTGGTGTTATAGGACAGGAAGTGAAGTGAGCATGCTGTGAGCAACACACCAACACGGTAACTTCTTCAAATTCTGTTGATGATGTTTTAGTACATTTTTGGTGTTTTTCTTTAAGTTGTATTTAGACGAGTTGCATAACTGACTTTAATTCTCTCCTTTCAGAGTATACTCTTATACTCGATGCATCACATCTCTTTATGTTTTAATAAGTTCCTGCATATTGTGATACCTCCTTACTTTTTGCTACTCGAGGTAGAGCAATATATCTGCAGTTGGCGGCCCTAATCTCTACATATCCGCATCGGCTATTTATACAAAAAAAAAGTTTTTCTTAAAAGTCTTAAAATAAACATTCTAAGAGTGATGTTGAGTTGCAATTTAACTCGGCAAGTGGATAATATTGTGAATATATAATATCCTCTTTTTTTCTTTAAATCTGACATTGAACACAAAATACAAATTCTTCAAATCAGACATGTTGTCAGGAAATGTAGATGTCTTAGTGGGGTACCTTGTGGTACTCCGTGTAGAGCAATTTGTTTATTTTCTATTGTTAAATTGTCGTATTTGATCAAACATTCATAAAAATCAATATATCTGCAATTTGTGTCCCTGCTCTCTAAATATCGCATCGGCTATTTGAACCCATTTAAAATGTAACTTGGTAAGTGCACAATATTGTGAATATAAAATATTTGTATACAAGCCCTCTTTTATTCTTTAAATCTGAATAAAAATGCTTCGAATCAGACATGTGGTCAGGAAATGTGGATGTCTTAGTGGGGTACCTTGTGGTACTCCGGGTAGAGCAGTTTGGGCAGCTGGTTGAAGATGAGCCCTGGGTCGTTGACGGAGCGTCTGAAGACGTGATACACCGGCGTGTTCAGGTGATGGGCGGCCAGAACAGCGTCCGCCGCAGTAAGCCCCGCCCCCACCACCAGCACGGGGTCCGATGATTGGTCGAGCTCCCCGCGGGAGATGGCGGCCTCCAGCTCCCAGAAGGAGTGGCAGACGTGGGGCAGCGACTCGCCCTCGACTCCCAGCCGGGCCGGGATGTCGTGGGTTCCCGTCGCCAGAACCACGTTATGAGCCAGCAGCGAGAACGGAACCTCGTCGGAAACAGTGGAACCATCTGACAGGAAGTGGATGGAGGACACAGGAAGTGGAGGGTTAATATGAGACTCTTTATAACCAATAATGTCAATGGAAAATAATTTTATCATGTCATATTTTTAAAGAAGATATGAATATAGCCTAATTTAAAGAAGTTTAGGAAGGGGACATGATACAGAAAACAGCTTTAAAAATAAAAAGCTAATAAATAGTAAAATAAGTGAATATTTAGTGTCTAAAAGCTTAAAATATTCGAAATATATTACATATTTTTAAAGATATCCCAGCGTGTTTTATAAAAGTTATAAAACTGTACTTTAAGCGCTTTGAGCACCAGGAAAAGCGCAATATAAATCACATGTATTATTATTAATATTATTAGGGTCTGAGACCTAGGTCGGCGAAGACCCTTTTGAAATCGGTCGCACAGCGACCGATAAACCTTTGACCCCCGCAACATATGTGAAAACTCACCAAATGTTGCACGCGCGTCAGAAGTGGTGCAACTTCAGATGTGTAATTGGTTCCGGAACTTTGCGTCAAAAATTGCGTAGGCCACGCCCACTTCCGTTTTTAACGTAAACTCCCCCCACTTTAACTTTCACGTAAACGAACGAAACTCGCTACGCATATCTAGGGTGCGGAGACAAACCAAAAAGCCTCTTGGAGGGGTATAAAATAACGTACAGGAAGCCGGCCATTTTGAATTTGGCGTCGGAAAAACGCGATTTATCCGTACGACTCGAAATTCGTCGGGTAGCGTCTCGAGACATGGGCAATTCAAAGTTATCACGGAAGTCTTTTTCTTTCGCACGGCGTAGCCGTGATTTGGCGCCAAAGTTCGCGTTCGCTTGATGCTCGGCCATCCCTCGCCATGGAACACGATGATGTCATAACGCCAACTGACATACTCAGAACGCCACCAAACTTCACATGATGGTTAACACTGCGGCCCTGAACAGCTCTACGTCAAATTTGATGTTACTTAATATGGCGTTACCATGGCAACGAATCCCTCGCCATAAAACACGGTGTCGCTGTAACTCCAATGGACACGGTCCCATCGTCCCCCAATCTTCACTTTTATATCACCGGTCCATGCCTCAACAGCTCTACGTGAAATCTGAGATCTCACCGTATGCTGTTTCCATGGCAACGCATCCCTCGCCATAAAACACAATGTTGTCTTAAGTCAATGGAAAATGGTCCAAACTGCACCAGACTTCAGATGACAGTTAATGGTCCGGCCCTCAACACCTCAATATGACAATAGTGAGTTTTCCTCAAAAGCGGTTGCCATGGCAACGCATCCCTCGCCGTTAAGCACGATATTGCTATAACTCCCGTGTAAATGGTAAAAAAGTGTTCAAATTTCCCATGTGTGCTAACCGTCAAGCCCTCGACACATATATGTGTCAGTTTTGAGATTTCGTCAAATGTCGTTGCTATGGTAACAAAATGGTCGCCGTGAAACACGGTTTTCTCATAACTCCAGTTAACATGCTCCAAACGGCCCAAAACTTCACAGGTTTGATAACGATGCAGCCCTCAACACATCTAGGCGTATTATGGGGTGTCATCAAATTCCGTTGCCATGGCGACAGATCACTCGCCATCAAACACAATGTTTATGATACTGCTGTAACTCCCATGTACGTTGTCTGATCGGCCTGAAACTTCCCACGTTTGCCAACGGCCGAGTCCTTGAGACACCTAGACACACACGTCGACGTGCGGACAACAGCCTGCGGAGCGTCGAAGACCCGCTCAACGCTGCTTGCAGCTTTAATTGTTATTGTTATTGTTATTATTATTATTATTATTAGGCGCCGCTTTCCACCTTCTTCTCCAGTAGGACTCAGATGAGGGTGTACTCTTATGTGTGGCTGTGAACATTTTTTTTTATTATGAAGGGCAGACCATCTATTTGTATTTATTTTTTTGTTTTTTTTAGAAAGGGGCAGGTCATATAAGATTTTATTCTTCTCCCTGCTCCTTTTCGCTCAATGGTGTGTAGAGACATGTTTTGTTGGCAATTATTGTACATTTGGCTATGCGTACCATGAGCGGGACAAATAAAAATGAAATGAAATATCCCAACCAATCAGCTACTGTGGTGACTTGCACAGTGGAGCTTATCATGTTTGTTAGATAATGGGCCCTGCAGTCCCGCCACTTTGGATCAACAGGGACAGTGAGGGGGCTTAAAGTCTCTTGATACAATCTTGGCCCCCATTCCCTGTTCAATAAAGCACTATAAACAAGATTGGATAACACTGTGGTCATCATCTAGAAGTTAATAATGAAAAATAATCAAACTGAGTTCTTAGAAAACAAAAACAAACAGGTTTTGGACCAAACTTCTTCACAAAGACAGAAAAAAACATTTATGTACATAGAAGATTTGGATATAAAAAGAGATTCAAGTAGAAACACAACACATATTCTGTAGTACCACCAAGGTACAAGACAGCATATGATACTTTATGAAGACTCCTGTACTTTTACTTAAGTAGGATTTTGAACACAGGAAATAATTGCTCATATTACTCATTAAAAAAAGTATCTTTGCATTGATGTTTGATACTTTTAATCACAGTAAGTCAAGGATCTGAGTACTATAACTACACAAACCATCGTAATTTAATTATTTATTTACTTTTTGTTCAATGGCAACTTTCTTTGGACATGCAGCTATCTGCAGTATTGTGATGGCTCATTTTTCTCCTTGACCTTTTTGAATATTTGAACACAAGCTTTCCCTACCTTTCCTTAGCAAAGAGTTTTCAATTGTTTAGGATTAAGACTAAAGATTTAAGAAATACTTTATAAATCCACAAGGGGAAATTACATTTGTCCCAACCCTGACCCTTTTCACTCTGTTGTTATTGACATGACATCACACACATACTTTAACCACACTCTATTCATGTTTTGGTAGCCAAGTGCATATACTGGTATGATAATTATATTCTGATTCTGATTCTGATAACTGTTTGTTTTAAAAAAAAAAATCACATGACTGAATGTTAACCAGGGTTTTCAGTCATTAACACTTTGGTTTAAAGCATCAAACTCATTCTAAACAACTTTTTAAACTATTTATTGGAAGCTGTGGGGAATTAAAGCAGAAGACATGAGCGGAGAAGTATTTTGCGTTGGCTCTTTCCTGAACTTCAGTTTTTGGTGCTCCCATATCAACTGCTGAACTGGATGGTTAACTTTCTGCTGAGAAATATTTTACCTTTGTTATAACAAAATAAACAATCCATGGAATCACACGGCTAAAAATCGATAGTTCTCTTGCAGCTGCTGTGTTGCAATAATCAGATACACTTACACAAGATACAGAATTGTTGGGACACTAACACCCATACCATACATGTCAATCTGAATTAAAAGCTTGAAATAACACAAGATAAAGATTACACAAGATGATAAGTGAAAAACAAGTTAAGGTTTAGCAGCCGAAAGAAGTGAAACTTACTTACAGAACTTTGTGTTCCAAACCAGAAGTCATCATGCCAATGGCAATGATCTTGTTTTTGACTGATTCAACATGATGTTTTGTGTCAGAGAACAACAAACATGACATGGTTCTGTTACACGTTGGTAGCTTAAATACAAATAAAAAATATTTGAGATTATGCAAGGGAAGGCCATGTGGCAAGACCAACCTGGTCTCACCAGAATGCGTGACTCCACCACGACTCCTTAACACCGCAGTGCGTGGTGGAGTCACGAACTTTGCTACATTTACGTGTCTGCACCACGCAAACAACCCCAATGTAAAGTGAATGAGGCTCCTTTGTCCTTAACCCTAGCCCTGAACAGCTCTACGCCAATTATGGGATGTCATCATATGCCGTTGCCATGGTGACAGATCCCTCGCCATGAAACACAGTGTTGTCATAACTCGATGGAAAATGGTCCAAACTGCACCAGACTTCAGATGACAGTTAATGGTCCGGCCCTCAACACATCAATATGACAATAGTGAGTTTTCCTCAAAAGCTGTTGCCATGGCAACGCATCCCTCGCCGTTAAGCACGATATTGCTATAACTCCTGTGTAAATGGTAAAAAGTGTTCAAATTTCCCATGTGTGCTAACCGTCAAGCCCTCGACACACATATATGTGTCAGTTTTGAGATTTCGTCAAATGTCGTTGCTATGGTAACAACATGGTCGCCGTAAAACACGGTTTTCTCATAACTCCAGTTAACATGCTCCAAACGGCCCAAAACGTCACAGGTTTGATAACGATGCAGCCCTCAACACATCTAGGCGTATTATGGGGTGTCATCAAATTCCGTTGCCATGGCGACTGATCACTCGCCATCAAACACAATGTTTATGATACTGCTGTAACTCCCATGTACGTTGTCCGATCGGCCTGAAACTTCCCACGTTTGCCAACGGCCGAGTCCTCGAGACACCTACACACGCACCTCGACGTGCGGACAACAGCCTGCGGAGCGTCGAAGACCCGCTCAACGCTGCTTGCAGCTTTAATTATGATTATTATTACCTCCCAGCTCCTCCCCTTCGCGCCGCTGCAGTCCCGTCACCCTCCAGCAGGGCGGCGATCCCTCCTGGTTGCTAGGCTGCCTGGTTACCCCGGTTACAGTTGTCCCACAGGCGAAGTTCTGCTCCAATGACATCTGGGAAACGTAGTGCTGGTAGTAAGAGGCGATTTCTGCGGGAGTGGCTCGGTCATTACGGACATTTCTGCAGGAAAAATAAACAAGGAAATATATAAAAAAACAAGATACATTCACAGATTTTAATTCATCATTAATACACACAGGCTTAATACATATTTAGTTGAATTGAAATGTGGTTTTACTATTTAAAACACAAACAACAATTTAAAAAAGGTATTGTTAGTGGGAATACTTTAACATAAAGTCTAAAAGAGAACAGGAAGTATAGAGGTTCCTGGAAGATCAAATCAATATTTTTGAAAGACAAACAAAAGGTACGATGAAATTTAACAAAAATGGTATTCATGAACACAAACTCAATGCTCTGCGTCTCGTGCTTCTTTATGCAGACGTCACTATTAAACTGATTCCAAAAGGCACAATTAAGACTGTTAAAAAACTCAGCAATGTCGCCCTCTGGTGGTCAAAGTGGAGGATAGCTCTTGATAAAAACCAGTAAGAACCATTAAAACTCCTGCCGAGGTTAACACTGATTGCATAAAGTCCCTCCTAAATATGTTTAGGATCTTAAAGCCATCTAGCCATCTACCTACCTACCTACCTACCTACCTACCTACCTACCTACCTACCTACCTACCTACCTACCTACCTACCTACCTACCTACCTACCTACCTACCTGCATACCTGTCTATCTGTCTATCTGTCTATCTGTCTATCTATCTATCTTTAAATTCAGTGAGGGGGACCTGCATACATTGAGTGCTTCTCTGCATATACTAATACTTTCTGAGGCAAATGAAGAGTTAAATCAATATTATATGTGTTCTGTAATAACCACTCAATACTCAAATATTTAATATTTAAATACTGTTTCCTGTGCACAGACCTGCGTTTCTCCCTCATCCAGTCTTTGAGTTTGAGTCCAGGCAGCTCCATCCAGTTAGCCAGACTGAGCGTTAGCATGGAGCCCTCCATAGCCTGGAACACACACACACATACACACACACACACACACACACACACACACACACACACACACACACAAAATTAACATGATGTCAATGTCTCTTCTACAAACAAGTACATCATGATGTTTGCATCATGTGCTCTCTGCAGTTTGTGCAAATAACCGGCTGCATGTCGACACAAAGAATATTTGCACACATTTCCATATCCTGTGCCGAGTCTCAGGGACAAACACCCTGTTGTGAAATTAGGTTTGAGCTCGTCAGGAAATGTTTGAAAGATATGTCTGCCGTTTCAAAACAAACAAAAGTATAGGATTTGATTTATTTCGTATCATGCTATCAAGTATTGTTTTCTATACTTCCTGTATTGCATATTCAAAGCAATACTTTCCCCCTGTTTCCTTTATTTTATTATCACATTATTATTTACAAATATATTTCAAAACCAGACATTTTTAATCTCTTATCATTATTTTATTATATTTTTTCAAGCATGATTTTTTAATTGAAGACAATTTGACCCCTTTTCTTTTAATTCATTGTATTGTAATTGTATTTAATACATATTTCAAAGCAACACTTCTCTTCCCTGTTTGAGTTGTTATAATTTTATTATTATTATTTTGCTATTATAAGCACGAAATAGCTAAAGCAAGACACTTTACCCCCCCCCCCCACTTTTTCCTTTATTTTATTATTATAATGCGTACGTGCCAGGAATAGTCAAATAGTCAAAATAATATATATTTTTAATAGATACTGAGAGTAACGTACGTGCCAGGCGCCCCCCGGCGGGCCCCTCCCCAGCACCAGGTGAGGGACTGATCTCTCAGGCTCGTATCTCCAGTCCAGAGGAGACGAGTGGTCCAGACCAAAGTCGCTGTCAGGGAGCAGCAGCGAATCAAAAAGCACCGCCACGGGGTTAGAGGAGCGGCCCTCCAGACCCTCACACAGGTACTCCAGGTCCTACACACACACACACACACACACATAGTTTAGCCGATGCTGTCCTGTTTGTGTATGTGTGTGTGAGAGTGTGTGAGTGTGTGAGTGAGTGAGTGAGTGAGTGTGTGAGTGAGTGAGTGAGTGAGTGAGTGAGTGAGTGAGTGAGTGAGTGAGTGAGTGAGTGAGTGAGTGAGTGAGTGAGTGAGTGAGTGAGTGTGTGTGTGAGAGAGTGTGTGAGTGAGAGTGAGTGAGTGAGTGAGTGAGTGAGTGAGTGAGTGAGTGTGTGTGTGAGAGAGTGTGTGAGTGAGAGTGAGTGAGAGTGAGTGAGTGAGTGAGTGCGTGAGTGAGTGAGTGGTGTTGCTGGAGAGAGTGGTCGGTCGAGTGAGAGGTGAGAGTGAGGTGAGTGAGTGATGTGAGGAGTGAGTGAGTGAGTGGGTGCGGAGAGAGATAGGCGGGGATGTGAGAGGAGGGAGTGAGATGAGGGAGGGGACCCAGTGAGGTGAGGGAGGGGTGTGTGTGAGAGTGTGTGAGTGAGAGTGAGTGAGTGAGTGAGTGAGTGAGTGAGTGAGTGTGTGTGAGAGAGTGTGTGAGTGAGAGTGAGTGAGTGAGTGAGTGAGTGAGTGAGTGAGTGAGTGTGATTGAGTGTGTGTGCGTGTGAGTGATGGCTGGTTACTGGTCGTATAAAGTTTTTGTGAGTGTTCAATGTGTGAGTGTATGTGTGTGTGTGTGTGTGTGTGTGTGTGTGTGTGTGTGTTGCTCTGTGTAGTGTGTGTGTGTGTGTGTGTGTGTGTGTGTGTGTCTGTGTGTGTGTGAGTCTGTGTGTGTGTGTGTGTGTTGCTCTGTGTAGTGTGTGTGTGTGTGTGTGTGTGAGTGTGTGTGTGTTACCTGCTCCAGCAGTGACAGGTGTGGCTGTTCCCCCAGTTTGCTGCTCAGCAGGGGGTTTGGGTGCGATACCTCCGGCGACAGGTAGGGGGTCCGACCCGACAGCAGGTAGGAGAGGCAGATCCCTGAGGGGCCGTTACCTGAGAGAGAGAGAGAGAGAGAGAGAGAGAGAGAGAGAGAGAGAGAGAGAGAGAGAGAGAGAGAGAGAGAGAGAAGCCAATTAACACTTTACACCTCTTTGAGTTCAGAAACACAGCAGCAGGCTTCAAGGTTCAAGGCTGTTATTGTCATGTGTGCAGAGCTACAGTGTGGTTATGACAATGAAGATCTGAGGCTATAGTGTTGCTCTTCCAACAGAGCAACACTATAAAACAGATACAATAGTAATTGCAATATGATATATTAGATACATAACTAGTAAGTTGCAAACAGATGTTATGGATGTTCTCTATGGCCTGTGGGATGAAATGAGTCCTGTGGTCTTAGACCTGATGCTGCGGTCACAATTAACACTTTAAACCGCTTTTCTAGATTTAATCATTATTCATTTAGTTTACTAATAAGCATTACATTTGTGGATTTAAGACACTTTAAATATTAATTTTATTGTATTAAATGCCATTATAATAGGTAAGAAACCTGTCTCTGTAAGACATGTTAACGCTGCTTTTTTAATCTATTTTATTATATTATTATTATTAGCAAATATAAATGTTTTAACATAAGACGTCTTATCCCTTTTTATTCTTTTAAGGAATAACATTTGTATTGGATTTTTTTTCTCCCTTTTATGATGTTGTTATTATGAGCAATACATATTTCCATTTATAACTTTTCCACAAATCAGTTTTATGATCACACACACACACACACACACACACACACACACACACACACACACACACACACACACACACACACACACACACACACACACACACACACACACACACACACACACACACACACACACACACACACACACACACACACACATCACACACACACACACACACACACACACACACACACACACACACACACACACACACACACACACACCACACACTACACACACACACACACACACACACACACACACACACACTACACACACACACACACACACACACACACACACACACACACACACACACACACACACACACACCCACACACACACACACACACACACACACACACACACACAGCTCTGTTAGGGTTGTGTAAGCGCTGTCACTGAATAACCTCGTTATGAAAGTCATCGGAGCGACAGACAAGTTTGCACGACTCACATTAACCTGTGCAACGGCTCAGCAGAAGCTCAGACGCAACAAAGCAGTGAAAATAAAAAACACATTTACAGACAGAAAAGGAGACAATTATTAAAAATAAAGTATTTATAGAAATCAATTATAAAAGGGAAATAGTCAGTTTATGAGCAGGTCCATTAAACAACATCGACATCTGCCTCATATGTTATTTTAAACAGATTAATTCAATGACTTTCTAGTATTTCTGAAACTATCCCATGCTACTAAACTGCTTTTATCATTTTGGACAGATCAATATGATATTTAGCAGTTGTCTCTTATTTTTAAACACTTTTCCTCCACTTAAGGTGTGTTCTTCAACGTTACCTGGGAATGTAGCTGAGACTTTGCGCTGCGTTCAGGCGCTTTGGAGAAGGTAGGAAAAAGGGGAATTGTGCCGTTTCATATTGAGCTACAAATTACACATACGCAGCGAAGCAAAGTCAGTCAGTGAGAAGCTGCGTCCGCTCTAAGGCTCTCCATCCGTATGATGGAAAGTGTGTGAGTGTGTGTGTGTGTGGTTTTTTCTTACCGATGATCACCACAGGCAGAATCTCTCCAGGGATAATTTCTTTATCTTGAAAATCCATTTCGACCTAGGAGAGAAAATACATTATTATTATTATTATGAAATGTATTTTTTATTATAAATACAATATTTATTTATTATTATTTTTATTTGTATTATTATTATTTAATATATTTGTATTATTATTATTTAATTTTTTTTAATTATTATTGTTATTTAATATATTTGTATTAGTATTATTTAATTTATTCTGTTTTATTATTATTATTTAATTTCTTAATTTGTATTATTATTTAATTGTTTTATTATTATTTAGTTTATTTCGTATTATTCTTATTATTTAACTTATTGTATTATTATTAAATGTATTCTTATTATTATATAATTATTTTGTATTATTCTGATTATTTTTTTTGGATTATTATTATTTTAATTACAATTGAGTTTTTGTTCACTACCTTAATACACGCACAACATTCAACAGACTAAATAAATTCACTGCAAGAAGCCGCAAAAATCAAATGTGTGTTATCTGATTACTAAGTACTGTACATGAACTAAAGCACAGTTTCAAGGTACTTTACTTCATTATTACTTGAATAGGTTTTGGTATCCATTAATAGTTAATAGGGTGAGAAGGTTAATCATTTCTCAGTCAGGTCCCCATGGTCAGTACATTTCCACTGACCTCTGACACACACACGAACACACACGTAGACATGCGTACACACACACTTCCCCTTTCTGACCTCAGTTTTAACATAGCAACATGACCTCGGGTAAACACACACTTCAACCACAGAGTGTGTGAGACCTTAAGTAGAAATGAAAGTTATTGATGCAACAAATACAATGTCTTTTTATATAGGTCTACAGATGAAGGAAGTATTTGAATGAAATGTTTGAAATTATAAAAGAGATTTGATAGCGGGTAACTGTTTGTATAAAGTCCAATTCATAACTAGACAATGTAAGCAATAAAATATGTATTTTAATAATAACGACAGAGCTGTACTTTTTGCAGAATTTCCCCAAATTCTGGTAAAATGTGCGAAACATGTGATTGGAAACATTTGAACAGTAACTCCCCAAATTAATCGTACACTCACGATATACAATTTAGAAATCTTTGAGTCTCTTGCTCCACATAAAGAGCTCCTGATGAGGATGTTAGAGGGTTTCTTTTGTAAAAGGATAACATGAATAACTTGTTCGAGGTGTCACATGATTATTCTTTGCCACAGAGCTGATCCCCGGATAGCGAGCGCTGCAGGGAGATCTCATTTCACACAGGCGCCTCTAAAGGTGATTTTAACCACATTTAAAAAAAGGTACATGAATAAAACCGTTGCAGCAGAGAAACTTATATCTCACGTTAAGATCTAGAGCTAGATCGTTTTACTTTTTGATTAAAATTCAGCGTTTATCACTGAATAAAAAGCAAAAACATCACAAAGAGATTTTTTTTTTTTTTTTCCGCTAAATTTGAGGACTTGGGGCTGACGATTATTCGATTTATTTATTTATAAGATGGTCGATAAGTACCTGAGTTTCAGTATCCCACATTTGTATTGTATTTGAACACATACGAACATATTTTATATTTTTCTAAAATACATTTGTGTTATTTTTGTATATAAAGGAACCGTAGTTCTGAAGGTGAAACAAACGTAAAAATAGGGTCTATTTTTTGTATTATTTAAAATGAAACTCCTTTGTTTACTTCCAAAATATAGTGACGTCACTATGTAACACTCGCGCTCCTATTGGCTAGCGCTCCAACACATTGTACGTGATAGGCTAAGGGGCGGGACATCTCTAAGCTAGTTGACCAATCACAACAGATCCGGCCAGCTAACCAATCAGAGCAGACTGGGCTCTGGTTTCAGACAGAGGGTGAAAAGAGGTGCTGCAGCACAGGCAGTATGAGAGAAATAAAGAGCTTTTTGAACATTAAAGCCTGGAGACATGTCCCAGCTGCTTTAAAAAACGAATTTGTAAAGATTACTTTCATTATTGATTTATTGATTATGCATTCTACTTATAAAATGGGAGAAAATGGTGGAAGGGTTCCGAGGTAAATGTCTTGCTTTGTCAGTCTAAAACCTCTCTCATGTCTGCATGGTAAACTGCTTAAAGGGTTAATCGATTATAAAAGTAATTGCAGCTTTTTGTGGCACGAGGGGTTAAAATATGGAACGGTTCAACAAGTTTACAAACAGATGATGATATCAACTTTAATCTCACTCGTGTCCACTAATGGAGAGACTGGGCGCGGTGTGACAATCTGCCGAGTCATGCTTACACAGCCAGGCAGAAAGAGAAGCATGAAGTCAGAGGGAGACGTGTGAAATAAAAAGAAGAAGAGGAGACGGAGGAGGAAGAGGAGAGATAAAAAGAGGGAAGAATAAAACACAGAGAGAGAGAGAGAGAGAGAGAGAGAGAGAGAGATAGAGAGAGAGAGGTAGAGAGAGAGAGGGAGAGAGAGAGAGAGAGAGAGAGTTCAAAACTGAGAAATATGGAGAGAAGTTTGGAGATAAAGACGTGTTACATAAGAGCAGTGCAGCGTTGGCAGCAAGCCCTGTGTTTCAGAGTTTACTGTACACACACACACACACACACACACACACACACACACACACACACACACACACACACACCACACACACACACAACACACACACACACACACACACACACACACACACACACACACACACACACACACACACACACACACACACACACACACCACACACACACACACACACACACACACACACACACACACACCACACACACACACACACACACACACACACACACACACACTACACACACACACACACACACACACACACACACACACACACACACACACACACACACACACACACACACACACACACACACACACACACACACACACACACCCTTGTGGAACTGATGTGTCAGTGTGATTGGTTTTTCTTCATTTTTCTTTGCCAGAATGTTACTTTTGTTTGCCAAGAAGAGAGTTGACTAACGCCCTGAGTTACAGTAACTCTCACACACTGGAGCCCATTGTTCCCAAGTTTATGTATTAAAGATCAAATCTGGCAAATAAGCAGTTTATTTTTTAATTAAAACCAAGAAAAAGTGTGATCTGTAATTCCACTTTGCAGTTACCACGTGATGTCTGTGTTTTATTTACGATACACATAAGTTCACTTTTAACATGAGTCTACTTTAAAGAGTCCTCTCCTGCTGATGTTCAGGTGTATATCAGTATGTAGTGTCTCTACTTTAAAGAGTCCTCTCCTGCTGATGTTCAGGTGTATATCAGTATGTAGTGTCTCTACTTTAAAGAGTCCTCTCCTGCTGATGTTCAGGTGTATATCAGTATGTAGTGTCTCTACTTTAAAGAGTCCTCTCCTGCTGATGTTCAGGTGTATATCAGTATGTAGTGTCTCTACTTTAAAGAGTCCTCTCCTGCTGATGTTCAGGTGTATATCAGTATGTAGTGTCTCTACTTTAAAGAGTCCTCTCCTGCTGATGTTCAGGTGTATATCAGTATGTAGTGTCTCTACTTTAAAGAGTCCTCTCCTGCTGATGTTCAGGTGTATATCAGTATGTAGTGTCTCTACTTTAAAGAGTCCTCTCCTGCTGATGTTCAGGTGTATATCAGTATGTAGTGTCTCTACTTTAAAGAGTCCTCTCCTGCTGATGTTCAGGTGTATATCAGTATGTAGTGTCTCTACTTTAAAGAGTCCTCTCCTGCTGATGTTCAGGTGTATATCAGTATGTAGTGTCTCTACTTTAAAGAGTCCTCTCCTGCTGAGGTTCAGGTGTATATCAGTATGTAGTGCCTCTACTTTAAAGAGTCCTCTCCTGCTGATGTTCAGGTGTATATCAGTATGTAGTGTCTCTACTTTAAAGAGTTCTCTCCTGCTGATGTTCAGGTGTATATCAGTATGTAGTGTCTCTACTTTAAAGAGTCCTCTCCTGCTGATGTTCAGGTGTATATCAGTATGTAGTGTCTCTACTTTAAAGAGTCCTCTCCTGCTGATGTTCAGGTGTATATCAGTATGTAGTGTCTCTACTTTAAAGAGTCCTCTCCTGCTGATGTTCAGGTGTATATCAGTATGTAGTGTCTCTACTTTAAAGAGTCCTCTCCTGCTGATGTTCAGGTGTATATCAGTATGTAGTGTCTCTACTTTAAAGAGTCCTCTCCTGCTGATGTTCAGGTGTATATCATTTTCAAACCGGTTTTGAAGATAGCCAAATCTCAGCAGTTGAAGCACGATTTCCCCACAGGTTGAAGTTTATCTCTCCGCAGGTGCATTACATAACTTATTAAAGGCAACAAAGACTCGTAAGTGAAGCATGTTTTATAACATATTTCTGCCTGACTCTGTGGTGTAATCTCATTTACACACTCACTTCCTCTAACCACGCTGCAGAGCAGGTTTTTAATCTGTCTCTCACATAATCAAAGAATCAGCAGACAACAAAAACATGTCAAATGTTCTACCATAAAAAAGAAATTGTAATTAAATTGGTTATTTTTCAGTTTACCAAAGACCTTGCAAATTAAAAATCCATCTATCTTTGTTTTTACTAAAATATATTAAAGTAAGGTAAGAAAAAATACTGTTTTACGTGATAGGCTAAGGGGCGGGACATCTTTAAGCGGTTGACCAATCACAACAGAGCCGGCCAGCTAACCAATCAGAGCAGAGGTAACATAATTCTGTTTTATAGGGCTGCAATTTAAGATTAACATTTTAAATAATCTTGCTATTTTTTTTCTCATTTTATTACTTGGGCTATAAGACGTCAGTAAAAAGTGAAAAATATCCATTCCAGTTTCTTAAAATCCAGATTAATGTTTTAAAATGTATTGTTTTGGTTCCCCAAATCTCACGGATATTGACTTTATTTTAAATATCAAATATCATATCATTATCTCCATTTCTGAGAGGCGGGAAATAGCGTTTTCTGACATTTTGACATGGAAAAATAACCTATATACAATGATCAGTAAACATGTATTTTTGTATGTTTTTTGTTGGATGGCACAAACAA